TTTATAGAGTTTATGTTGAGTCTTGAAGTCCAGCCATCCTCTGTTGGAGGGTTTTGGCTTCAGCTGTTTCTATGTGATGGTTTCCTCACATGCAGCCAAATGTCTAACAGATTTTTTTCTTTCGGTCTGTCTGAGCTCTGTGTTGGCAGTCTTGTGCCAATGTGGAAAATTAAAGGTTGAGCCAAAGCTGCAATGTTCTTATTTTTTAAGCACATTGCCAGCATTCATGCCATCCCGGAACACCTCTAATACATTTCAGTTTTGGAGTCACAAAATACTGAGTTAGTATCACTGAAACTGGAGCTGAAGCTGATGTGTCTGTAATAAACGGTCTTCTTCCTATTTGTCTGCTGTGGAGCAGTTTGTGGATTTTGGCATTCTGTTTTAGATCGTAAGCCTTGAATATGTGAAGACTTTCATTTATTTTGGTGCACTCGTACACCTAAACATATGGTTTTTTTTTATTCTCTTTGTCTTTGTAGTAGAGAAAGAGTTTTACAGTTAATATTTTGTGCGGAGGAGACACTAATCCCTCTGGGGTTGAAGGAAGAGCATCCAATATGAAATTCTGCCAAATCAAACATACGGAGGTCCCCGCTGGGAAGGAGGGAGCAGCTAAAAGTAGCAATAGCTCTATTTTGTGCAGATATCTCAGGCATTTCTGGAAATTGTGCTTAAACACCAGCAGCTTTCCAGTGGTCAGAATTCTCATGATGGGACAAAAACAGGAAATCAGCTGATATTTTAGTAAAAAAAAAGAACACCTAAGGTGGAGGTTCAGGTTGACGGGTGGCTCCACGAACCTTTAATTAGCAGTGTTGTTCCATCTTCCAATTACAAAGCCATGCATCCCTGACTGTAATAATCAATGTCTGGTAACCCTAACCAAAGGCCGGTGTACAGCATAGTGATCAAGCCTGTAAAGGTGACACTTCTTCAGCCTGTTTCCACTGCACTGGACTCAAAGGCTCTGATAACTGGTAACAGCTTCAGTCACACTGTAAATTCCACACATAATCCCAACAACAGAAGCAGAAGCAAGTTAAGCCATGCTAAGTTTCGAAGTTCTGGTTACGGCTGGGTGAGCTTGGAGCTTTGTCATTGGAAGGTGAGTTCACCTTCGAGTGACATGTGGCCTCCAGCTTCTACCAAACTTCACCGAGACTACAATGTACCAGCTACCATGTCAGAATAGCATGGCTTCATGCCAACCAATGTGCCCATCCACAGTGTCTACAAGCAAGTATATACCTCTACTACTACCTCTATTACAGATCTTTGAAACTGAAGGATGATTTGTCCTGTTAGTGACAGTAACTGTGGTTTCCAGGTGGTTGCTGATTGTTGTCAAATAACTGGTGGTGATTGGTTTGAGAGGAGAAACCCTGCCTTGCAGTGTAGTATAGAGTTTCTTAGAAGTTCTGACCCTGGAGTACCCTCTTTTTTTCCCTGTGCACTGCGTGCTTTAGTGACGTTTAACCAGAGGCCCTTTTAGCAGATTTGAGTTTACATATCATTATCATGTACTCAGTTGACCTACTCGTTTGTGAGGTTCCAGTTTGAAGGCTCGAGATGAAAGTTTCCACTGTTGACATGTTGGTGTTTTCAAACGACATGTGACGAGAACGGGGTGGGGGAGACTATGAAAGGGAACTCTCATTGGCTAATGATTTAGGACTGACAGTTAACCAGTGCGTGTATCTCAGATAAACCGTTCTGAAACATCAAACGACCAAAATTTACAAAAGTGACTTTTTGTTTTATTCAGTATCACCTAAAATAAGTTATTGAGCATAAAATCAGAGAAGTGTTTGCAGAGGGTGTAGATTTGTTTTGCAGCCACATATATCACCCCCTGTGGCTGCAGTCTTCAGACCCAGAAGCTCCGCCCACCTATGATACTGTTTATAAATTTTGGTATTAGAAATTGAAGGCTGCATCTGCCAGTTATTGCATTTGTTGCAGTTACTTCTCACATGGCCTCTGAGGACTGTGGTTCCAACTTTAGGATCAGCAGCTTTATGGTGACAGTGAGGTAAAAAAGGTCCCACTAGGGTGGTCCCTGTGACAGGAAGTGCACAAAGTTCTGGTCCTCTTTTCCTGGAATGGAAACAGTTTCTGTAATTCTCATTCTTCAGTGCAGCAAGAATGAAGACCAGGGTTTGCGATTCTGGGACCTTTACGGGTTGGATTTGTTCGGCTTAAGATAAAGAGCAGATGACTCAGTTTGTTCCTCCTCATGAGGATTGTCCCTGCTTTTTGGACCATTTCTATTCATTTTTATTTCTTTCTGTTTAATTCTTTTGCTGCACAGAGCACAGTGTTCGGATGAATTGGAGCTCATGTGTCTGTTTTCCCATCTCTCAGTCCAAAGCTGCAGCGTTGATCACTGTGATGGTCGTCTGAACTCAACCGGGCCTCAGGGTCGATGGTGCTTCCCTTTATGTCCAGCCTGCAGACATCCTTGTAGCACAGATATGAGTCTGCATCCAGTCCACATACAGCACAGCACATCGTGGCCAGCATTTCAGCTGTAATGTCTGAGTGGGTGCAGAGTGCTGCAGTGGATCATCTTTATGAAGATGTGTGTGTTCTGAGCTTAGTGTTTTCATTTGAAGTTCACAGACTGCCAAGATGGAAGCGTTAAGAAGGCAAACAGATGGAAAGTAAACTCTGGCGTGTTAAATGTGGCTTTGAGAAACCGTCTGGAAGGATAAAGAGCCGAGGTGAAAGCAGATCATCGCAGGAAGGATGAGTTCTTCTAAAAGTCAGAAAACCAAACTTAAAAACGACAACACAAACAAAGATCATGATCAAAAATCTGTCTTTCTGAATTTCTGTTCAGTGTTTCCCACAACCCCTGGACCTCAGTTGGAAAACACTACATCAGGTCACAGTGATGGTCTGCTCAGACCCAAGTTTTCATCAAGTTTCATGAGGTGCAGAGTCCCACCTAAACCTAACCCACTAGCTGACAGTAAGGAGAACCACTGAGCAGAAGTGAGAGGAAACAGGGTTTTTTGTTTTTTTAAAAAAAAAGTGGAACAATGTTCAAATCACAGAGGTCCAAATGGGACGTGACCTCTGGCTTCCTGTAACCTGTAACTAAATTCTAGTTCAGCGATCTGCTGAAGGCTACTGCTGAAGAACGATGGATGGATGGTTTATTTTCCTGTCTCCATTCTTCAACCAACCCTTTTATGCCAGAGTGCCTGCAGAAGCATTCTGAGCACCTGTAAATGCACAGGAGACCAACCCTCAGTCAGATGATCCAATTTCACAGCACCTGTACTGCACGTTTAACATAGTGTGACAGTATGAATTCACCCTGCAGCCCTCCATCAAGTGCAGAGACCTGCAGACGGCTACCTGTCAGCACTTTCAAAGCCTCTTTCTAAAGACCTGCGATGTCAGCGTGCATGTTTGGAGTGGGTCTGAATGCTCTGTGGACAGCCGGCAGTGCAGATGGAGTTACATCTGAAAAACAGGCAGATAAAGAGAGAAAGGGATCGGCAGGAATGTGATACTGCTGTGCGCTGCGTCTCTGTTGATGCTGTATATCACCTCATGCATACTGTATAATGGTGTCTTTTCCCCAAAGCTCGTGAATACAGCGATCATTTTCAGCTCTTTTAAAGGAAGCAGACATGCAGAGGCGTCCGGCGTCAGAAGATGTCCATATGATAGCAAATCATCTGCACGCTTTAATGATCAGGTTAAATAAGCCTGTGCGCGTGCACATGGATGCCTATTTGTGGCTCTGCGCATGTATATTTCAGGGAAACGATAATGATCTGGCCACTTGCGATGATTTCCCCGACGCTGAAAAGAATTTTCTTCCTCCTCGCTGAGTGATAAGATCTGATTGACTCACCCACCCAGGCAGCGGGAGGAGATATGCTAATGAAGCACTGACAAAGAAGCTGATGGAGGCCGGAGATAAATGCTGGCATGTGTGTGTTTGAGGACAAATAAGTGTGCATCCTTGTCATCATCAGCACTCTGCATTTTAATGAAGGTGGAGCTCCATTTAAAAACCCGAGGAGGCTGAAACGTGGAGGAGCTGCTTCCTTTAACGGTCTCACAGAAGCAGTGGTGCAAACACCACATTTTACTTCAGGTTTTGACCATCTGCTTTAATTATTGATGATCTGTTTCTGAGGAATCTGTTGTTTCCACTCAGTTTGACAGACATCTGCAGAGAACCCGAGAGCCTTTGAAAACACTGACTGTAATTTTTACCTCTGAATTAAAGCTGAAGTGTGCATGCTGCATTTCAAACCTCTGTGGGGTCCAGGTATTTATGGACCTGACTCTGAGTATTTTTTGGAACTAAATCCTTTTGATTTAAGCAAGTGAATCATTATAAGATTGGGGAAACCTGTAGTCAGCTGAGACTGAAGAAGTCACTCGGATGAGTGACGAAACGTTTCTCCCACTGAAAGCGCTACGTCCACATGAACAGAATCAACTTTTGGGGATTTACTTACCTGGATTATTGAGCATATGCATCAAAACCTCAGTATAAGTACAAAAATCATTATGATTATTAGTCTGTGGTCTGTACTGTGATACAGGGTTTGGAATTTAGGGAGGTTTAACTCTGGGTTCACAGTGGTTACAGCATGATTAAGCCCATGCACTGGCCAGTCAGTTCTGTGGAAAATGGCGCCATCATTTATTGAAAATATTGTGGAGGTCTTTGCGTGCACCATGAGAGAATCTGAGAGTTTTTACAGATCAACTAAAGCCTTCAGCTTTCGCTGACAAGCTTCTGCACAATATTACAGATGAAGACTCTCAGCAGAGGGAGATCACACTTCAAATTCCTGCAGATCTCAGTCCAGCACCATGGCTTGATTTTTCTATTGAAACTCATCAGAAAGCACCTTGTTCACTCACACATTTTATTACTGATCTGAATGGATGGATGGATGGATGGATGGATCTTATTCAATACTCAGCCTGATACTTTCTCACAGTGAGCTCTTGTTTTACAGGATGGAGGACAGAAGTGCATCCCCTCTGATGACTTCGAGTGCGAGGAGGTGAGCAGCTCTGATCAAAACTTTAAAAACGATGGTTGAAGTAATGGGTGGAGGGGTCTCCATCTCCCCCATCACTTGGACCAGCTGATGTGGTGTTCAGGTTGTTTATATGACGCTGACGTGCATCATCAGATCAGACGATGAGATGAAAAATGAACAGATGATTTTTATCAGAGACAGACAGCTTAGAGCCCTTTCACTAAAATCATCTGAGCAAGTTCATTCTGGACAGACCTGAGAGCGCCCCTTATGGAACAGGAAGTCAAGTCCAGACAATGGAAGTTCTTGATTATACTAAACCAGGGGTGTCAAACGCCAGTCCTCAATGGCCAGTGTCCTGAAACTTTTAAATGTGTCCCTGCTGCAACCTTTTATAAAATTAGGTCATTAGCGAGACTCAATAGAACTTGACTGCATGCTGAGGTGGCAACCCCTATCCCTTCTCAAGTAATTTTAAATAAATGTAAGTAAATGTAAGTGTTTGGAAATTTTACTTCTAAAAGTACTTTTATTGCACCTTGTGCTTTCACTCATGAGCTGCTGTAACATGAATCAAATGGCTGAATTGCCACCTCACCAGCCCTCAAGAACTGAAGTTTGACACCTGTTTGCTAGACGTCTTCTGATTGTGTGTCTGAGAGGGCCACTATTACATCACAGAGAAAGCTTTTATTATTGGTCAACATAATGGAAAAAAGTAAACTTAAGTGGTGTTTTATTACAGCATGGGCTTTTTGGTCAAGTGAGATTATGAGGAGATCATTCTGAGGTGAGATGTGATCTTCAGGAAAGACTGTTAAAGGATGGGTGAAACTGCCTCTGGCTCTGAGCTCAGGAAACTCTTTCCCAATGAGCTTATGGTGTCAGTCACTGCTTTCAGGCCTGATTTAAGCACCATGTCCATTTTGGAGTTTCAGGTCCTGTTACTTAGAAAGGACCAGAAAAGGGTTTAGGGCGGGGCTACCTGTGACTGACCGTATGAGTGTAGTGTCTGTAGTCTTTTAGAAACGGTGTATGATGGGATGCTGTGTGTACTCAGCTCTCAGTTTCACAGCTGGCACATTAAAAAGCGAGCAGTGTTTTCGCCCACTCTCATTTCTAAGAGTTCGCTGCTAGACTTCCTGTGTAAGCCTCCCTGTGGCCGGTTCACTGAGTGTCCTCCATCTGTTTTCGGGTTAAAGATCCACAGCTGAACTGTAAAGTGTAGTGTGAGGAAACAAAGTGAGGCTCCCTCCAATAAGCTGCTCTGTATTAACACTTGATCACCACACTAATATCTTCATCAGCAGCTGTTACCACCCCAGGTTGGAGAGGAGAGTCACGTGACAGATGGAGAACATGGGAGCACTTTGTTTGAATTTATTGATATATTATTGCCAAACCTGAAGCTGAAGATGAACTTCCAACATGAAATATGCACGAATAAGAAGCTGCAGAGAGTGTGGCGGCAAAGAAAAGGAGCGGCTGCGCCTCGGTGGAGATCTGTCTGTAAAACAGAGAGACACAAAATGAATTACCTGCTGAAACTCAAGCAAGAGAGTTAGACTCAGATATTTAGCAGCCCATAAAAGCTCAGCTCTGTGACTCACTTTACCTTCCTGCAGACACCTCTCCTGCTCGGCCTCCACACACCATCTGTGCTGAGGGCGGCGACCACAGTAGGATACTGCTCCTCCTGCAACAAAATAAACATAAAGAATAAAAGTGAAGCGATGTTACAAATGTGCAATACCACAGATTTTATGCTTTATGTTTCCTCTTCAGCTTCATTTTCAGAGGTTCACGCTCCGAGTTGCTTGCTCTAGTTAAGTGACGCCGCCATCTACAGCTGACAGTTACAAAAGAAATAAATCAATTATTGATAGCAAAATTCAATTTTGGATATCTGAGAGTTTGACATGCAGTCAGTGGTGAGAGACTTTAACACAGCCGTACGTAGATTTATTATTATATTATTATAGCAGGACAAGATTAAACGGTACACATCTGAAAAAGTAGGAAATTATATATTGATGAAGAATTAATATTTAATTGCAGAAAACTTTATCTGAAGCCAGATATGAGGTATGAGGCGTTCTAACACCGCCCACAACTGAACCCGCTCGATAGAAAAGCTTTGTTTCAGAAATCTGCAGTCACCAGTGACACACGAATTTTGGATTTATAATATTAGTACTGAAGAATGAAATGTGGCTGTCTGTAATTAGAACGGGAGCTGGTCAGAGGGACTTTATACAAACTTTCATGGATAGATTTACAGGTATATTGATTTCCAGCTAACAAGCAGCTTCATCATTTGTAAGATTTTCAGGACACCACAGAATGAGGCGTTACAAACACTTGTGCACTAATGCTCGTGCCTTTGTCCCCCCTCTGTGCTCAGGCTCTGTTGGCCCAGGGCTCGATAGACTCTCAGGACTCTGCAGGGCCAAGAAGCAGCAGCCGGCCATCAGCCCCACTCCTCCACCTCCTCCCTGTGACTGTGTGTGTGTCCATCCTGCCAGCGTTCCTGTTCCACGTCTCATAAATGTGAACTAGCATACACACATACATGCCCACACACACATTTACACACACACACACACACACACACACACACACACACACACACACACACACACACACACACACACACACA